TTCACCTTGACTGGATCCCTGGTCGTGGTTGTGATCTTATATTGCACAAAGTCTGTCTTGCCTGCTCTATCTATGAAGACATCTGCATATTGACGCAGTAGATCTTGTAGCTCTTTCTTCTGCTTGCCAGTCAGTTCGTCACTTATGTTGACGTCCTTGTATGTCTCATCTCCACCAAGTGGTCTTAGTTCTAGTAGGTCTTCATCTTCTATGACAAAGTCACTGTCTTTTAGTTCTGCATCTATGACAGCCACACTTGCAACGTCCATCCGTGCCTCAGTAGCTGCACCTGTTTTGTCTTCTTCACTCTCAAAGTACCTCTTCATCAGACTGGTGTGATATATCGTGGTCTTTCCATCCACTTTCACCTTATAGTCCATTCTATTCCCCACTTCCTGTACTTCAAAAGGACCTCTCCATTGTAGGATCAACTTGTTGTTGTATATTGGTAGCAGAATCAAGACCTTCTGCTCGATTTTGAAATATCAGTCCTTGGCCTTCTTATCATAGAAGTGCTTCTGACTGCCTTGAGCTGCATGCAAACTCTCATTTTTGAGTTGACAGGTCTTTTTCAATCGGTTTCTCTGGTCTAACACGTACTGATATGTGTTTCTCACTTCTGACTCTTCTTCTCCTGTCCACAGTTCTTTCAATATTCATATCAGACCACTTACTGTTCTTCCATACAGAACTTGAAAGGTGAAAATCCTGTCTTCAATTGTGGGACTTCTCAGTAAGCAAATAATACTGGCTGTAGGTACCTGTCCCAGCCACATGGTCTCTCCTGGCACCTATCCAGCATGCTCTTTAAGACTCCATTGTTTTTCTCACAAAGTCCATTACATCTTGTCTTATATGGGGTGGTAAAGAGTTTAGTACTTATGAGTCTGCACACCACTTGCATCAGATCTAAGGTAATCTGGGTCTTTCTGTCACTCAAGACTTCTTTTGGAAAGCGTACTCTGCAGAACATTTCTAGGAAGGATTCTGCTACTCCCTCCATCTCTATCTTTGGCAGGGCTACGGCTTCTGAGTAATGTGTCACATAGTCAACAACTGTCAGCACATACCAATTGCCCTTATGAGATCAGGTGCTAATGGTCCGTTCAAGTCCACAGCTACTCTGCTGAATGGATCTTTCATGAGAGGCATCTGACCCAGTGGCATCCTGGCTATCTTCCTTCTAAATACTGTTCTATGGCTGATGTCACATGACCTGTAGAATCTGGTCACATCTCCAATGGCCTCCAGCCAATGGAAGTTGCTGGTGATTCTGTCTGCCGTTTTTTTTTTTGTTTCTAGGTGTCCTCCTACAATTAATTCATGAGCCACTTTCATCACTTTAGTCCGGTATTCTGTTGGTACTATGATATGTTTAAATTCCCCAGGAAAGTTGCCTTGATATATCTGGTACAGCACTACTTTCCGGTCCTCTATTCTGTAAGTCCCTTTCCCCCTTTGTCATGTGTTCGACTTTCTCCTGGGCACTGTTCCAAAGTTCCTGCAATAAAAGGTCTTTCTTCTGTGTTTCCTTCAGTACCCATAGACCTACATTCGGTATGCCATTTTTTTAGACTTTCAGAGGCTTGATGTTTTGCTTACTTTTCTTTTCTCTAGTTCTTGTGGTGACTGCAGATGCCTCACCACTCTCTTTCCTCTTTGGTTCCTCCAAACTTCTACTGCCTGGTGTATTGCTAATCATTACACATGGCTAATTACACATACACATGGCTTCAAGGTCTCCCACATAGTATGGAGTGTCCACTTTTATTCTTGTTAAGAGAATTTTTCTCACTATCTCATCAATAATCACACACAAAATACCTTGCCTATCATCTGGTCATCAGATACTAGACTGGCTCTCGTTGCTGTACTGTTCATAGAGTTCAAAATCTCTAAGAAATGAAATATGTTTGCAGTTTTTCTCGTGGTACAACTTTATCCTACTTAACTATTTAGATTGCGCTACTTCTCGTTTGAGGCCCGGCATGGCCAGGTGGTTAGGGCGCTCGACTCTCAATCTGATGGGTCGCGGGTTCAAATCCCCGTCACACCAAACATGCTCGCTCTTTCAGCTGTGGGGGCGTTATAATTTTACGGTCAATCCCACTATTCGTTGGTAAAAGAGTAGCCCAAGAGTTGGCGGTGGGTGGTGATGACTAGCTGCCTTCCCTCTAGTCTTACACTGCTAAATTAGGGACGGCTAGCGCAGATAGCCCTCGTGTAGCTTCGTGCGAAATTCAAAACAAACAAACTTCTTGTTTGATTTAACGCGTAAAAGAACGACATCTGGATTATAAAGTTTTTGAAATAATTAGTTTGTTAAATTAGAAAAATATCACTTTTATTCCATTCAATTTTAAAAACTATCAACATTTATATATTTTTGGTCAGCGGATACTTTATAAACTTACCACTCTAAAATGCGCGGTTTGATTCCCCACGATATATAGAGCGAAATTAGCCTATTGTGCTAAAACAAACACTTGTGAATGTTTTTGACCAGTCACAAAAGTAACAGCCTTACAGCACGTGCACCAAAGTTTATTTCATCATATTTTTTGATTTACATAGTTGTAAAATTTTCGTAGCACAATATTTATAATATATGGCAATAATTAAACACATAATTAAAGCAACATTCTAGCCGACGTATGTGAATAAGGCACACATTACACCTTTCGTAATAAAGAATACATTGAAGATAGAAGTATTTAGGCCTAAAGACGATATGCAGATTTCTCAATGATATAACTACTGATAAAGAAGGTTTATAATGACTACAGTTTTGATTAAAGTCTATGGCCAAAAGTAACAATATTTAGTAGGTAACATTAAGAAGGCCACCTTTTCTCTTGGGTTTGAAATTGCAAATGACACAACTCAAATCTTTATCGCGGCAGAGAAAATAACTAAATCCATGTTGTGAATGTTCTGTGTCAAGTAATGCTGACGAGACAAAATAGCATTTCAGACACCTAGTCCCGAGATTGTATGCAGTAACTTTGAAAAGAAAAAAGCTACATTGAACAGTAGCGAGTTATGTTTTAACGAAGACAGTTTCTTCAAGCAATTCATTAAAGTAATACTTGCTTGAGAAATCATAGCGGTCCCCCCTTCCCTCCTAGTAAGGGAAAACGAAACAAAATGTAACACAGCTAACCTTTTTTTGTCATTGTTAAGCAGTACTTGCATGAGAACTGAATCAGTTTAACATTACAGTGTTTAAAGTGTCCATCTTTTGTCACAATAAAGGAAAACGAAACATGTAACACAACAAAACATTTTTCATTGTTAAACAGTACTTGCATGATAACTGAATCAGTCTAATATTAAAATGATTAAACTGTCCATATATTATATATATATTTAAAATTTGCTTTCTTTTCTTTGTATGTTTTAGAACAATATCACATTGGGCTATCTACTGGGTTCACCGGGGGAAAGGAGGTTCACTATGGTCCACGTTGTAGACAGAATCATGATAATCTGCTATTTTAAATCATTTCTGGGTTGTATTTCATGGACTTAATTCTTGCATTAGAACCACCAAAACAGTTTGTTCATGATGTGCATCTTATCTTCAGTTTGTTCATGGTGTGTGTACCTGATCTTTAGTTTGTTCATGGTGCATGTACCTGATCTTTAGTTTGTTCATGGTGTGTGTACCTGATCTTTACTTTGTTCATGATGTGTTCCTGATCTTTAGTTTGTTCATGGTGTGTACCTGATCTTTAGTTTGTTTATGGTATGTGTACCTGATCTTTAGTTTGTTCATGATGTGAACCTGATCTTTCGTTTGTTCATGATGTGTACCTGATCTTTAGTTTGTTTATAGTATGTGTACCTGATTTTTAATTTGATCATGATGTGTTTTTGATCTTTAGTTTGTTCATGATGTGTACCTGATCCTTAGTTTGTCCATGATGTGCATCTGATCTTCAGTACATATATATGACTGTAATTTTCTAGATTTAATAACATACATTATTAGTTTGTTCATGATATGTGTACCCGATCTTTAGTTTGTTCATGGTGTGTGTACCCGATCCTTACTTTGTTCATGATGTGTACCTGATCTTTAGTTTGTTCATTATGTGTACCTGATCTTTAGTTTGTTCACGGTATGTGTACCTGATATTTAGTTTGTTCATGATGTGCATCTGATTTTCAGTACATATATATGACTCTAATTTTTCTAGATTTGATAACATACATTATTAGTTTGTTCATGGTGTGTGTACGTGATCTTTAGTTTGTTCATTTTCAGTACATATATATGACTCTAATTTTTCTAGATTTGATAACATACATTATTAGTTTGTTCATGGTATGTGTACCTGATCTGTAGTTTGTTCATGATGTGCATCTGATCTTCAATACATATATATGACTCTAATTTTCTAGATTTAATAACATACATTATTAGTTTGTTCATGGTGTGTGTACGTGATCTTTAGTTTGTTCATGATGTGTTCTTGATCTTTAGTTTGTTCATGGTATGTGTACCTGATCTTTAGTTTGTTCATGATGTGCATCTGATCTTCAGTACATATATATGACTCTAATTTTCTAGATTTAATAACATATATAATACATCTTAGTGTGAAAAATACGAACATACTATGTCTTTTGGTGTAAAAGACATTGGATATATATATATATATATAAAACACACTACTGCGAAAATAGAAATATTAATTGTATTTAAAAACAAAAACCAACAACATCTACACCTTCGCTTCATTGTGCCAACTGAAGTTTTCAGTGTTACTTTATTTTAAATTTTATGTAATATAATCATAAACCGTATGTGAAAAAACCGAAGTTTATATAGGCTACAAATAATCGAAACAAATTCAACAACATAGCTAACATAGGTAGGAAATTTTTAGTCTAAATCAACAATTCTAAAAATAGGCAAATACTATCAATTAACAATTTCAATTGATTATTTAATTTTGGAAAAAAGACATAAATAATGACTGAAATTTGAAAGTTCAGGTTTTTATCCTGCTTGTTCTTAAAGTTTTGTGTTTTCGGAAAGATTCTCTTTCTTCGCTAGCTGGAACCTCTGCTGTTGTGGGCGAAGTGTTAAAGGTCTGCTTATAATTTGACAGTTCTGGCCGCAGTGGCGGAAAGTGAATTCCTTCTTTCGAACTTCCGCGAAATGATGGCGCTGTTCCACCCAGTCCCGGAAAAATGGCTCCCGAAGACATGGTCATGTTGCATTTAGATGAGAGCGGTAGAGAATCCTTAGATAAAACATCACATAGTTTGTCAGAGCTGTTGAAGTTCTTTTCCTTTAAACGATTCAAGTTGTTGGCAAACAATCCTCGAGCTTCGGAGAGACTTCGACTAGCTATTTGTTGGCGAGATTTCGTCTTTGATCGAGATCTTACTCCAAAATCCCAGTCGCACGGCTCGCTCATGGTACTAGCAAAAGAAGCGTCAAGATCGGTGATGTGAAGAGGAATGAAAGGCAACATACTGCCTTTTGTCGTTATGGGCCTATATTTAGAGACAGCAAATTCTTCACTTTCGTGTTTAGGAAGGTTCAATATTTCATCACTTTCCATATCAGACATTCTAGCCTCTTCTACCAGATTACCACTATCCCACTCACTTGCAAGTTTCAAATAATTTTCACTTATTTCATCATTAGATGTGTTTTGGGGTTCTGAGGACTCTTCTGTGGTTTGTTCTAAATACTTCCTTTCCTCCTCAGGCATTTGTGGAGATTTTAAAGTGCAGCAGGGGTCTATTCTCGGTGAATCTTTTCTTATTGGATAACTGGAACTCACAGATTCAGGCTGTGGAATACCCGTACTTGATTTTATCGAGATTAGTGACTTGGAGCTCGTAGCCCCATCTCGTTCCGAGGGCATGTTAGTGTCAGACGTCCCTTCTGGAACAGAATCTAGATCCTGGACTGTCATAGTAGGCTCTTCGAGTGTTTGATCATTTAATGTGTTTCCGTCATCTTTCTGCACGTTTTCCGTTAGGCTTGTCACTGTCACTGTCTTTCCGGCAGAAAGTTCAAAAGCATTAGAGGATGACTCGACTTCTTTTGTTAACAGTTTTACACAAGCGTCGTGACCGTTGTCCATAGCCAACTGGAGAGCAGTATACCCGTTATTATTCTTGGTACCTAACTCCAAAGCTTTCTTCATGTATTTAAAACTATTGATAAATGTAGAGATGACATCTGCGTGGCCATTCGCTGCTGCATACATAAAAGCTGTGTTCCCCTCAATGTCCTTTATTGTTGGATCTGTTTTCACCTAAAAATTAAAATAAAAAGTTTACCACATCAGGAAAATAAGATTGTTCTACATTTGAAAAAAATTCTAACATCTTATAATATAAGAGTATAAGTAACTTCAACTTTTAGTGCACCTTGTAAGCTTTCTGAAAATTGTAAAAATTTGTTTGTTTGTTGAATTTCGCACAAAGCTAGCCGCCCGTAATATAACGATGATATACTAGATGGAAGACAGTTAGTCAACACCATCTACCGGCAGCTCTTGAACTACTCTTTGAAAACGAAAAGTGAGATTGATCGTAGCATTATAACGCTCTCATGGCTGGAAGGACGAGCATGTTCAGTGAAGGAATTCGAAATCGCAACCTGAAGATTTCAAGTTGAGCGCCCCAACCGCCAGACTTTGCCAGACCTCGTGAAAAAGTGTAGTTTTATAGAATATTCTGAATTAGTAAAACGATACAAGAAACCTCATATTTTATCTAACTTTCGGAACGTCTACGTTAATGTATGGAACACCTGTTTTTATTTCCTTCTCTGAATTTTTTAACAATGTAAAAATCTCTTAAATTGATTTTTAGTATTTTCAACAGTGTAAGAAACGTCTTTTAGTTCATTCTCTGAGCTTGTTCAGTAACGTAAGAAACGTCAGTTTGTATTATAAATTTGTTCAACAATGTGGGACATCTCAGAGTTTTAGTTCGTAATCTGAATTTGCTCAACACTAAGAAACTTCAGTTTTTACTTCACACTTTAAGCGTATTCAACAGTGTATGAAACGCCATTCACACTTCGAGCTTTTACAACAATACAATTAAAATGTTTATACTTTTAGTTCACTCTCTGACCTTTTCAACAATGCAAGAAGCATCAGCTTTTACACCATTCTTTGAGTTTCAACAATGCAAGAAGCATCAGCTTTTACACCATTCTTTGAGTTTCAACAATGCAAGAAGCATCAGCTTTTAGTTCATTCTCTGAAATTTTCAACAATGCAAGAAGCACCAGCTTTTAGTTCATTCTCTGAGTTTTTCAACAAGAAATATCGATTCTTAGTTCATTCTTGGAACTTTATCGATAGTGTAAAAAGCCTCAGTTTTAGTATATGCTTTGAAATTGTTCACCAATCTAAAAAAAACAACAAAAAACTCAGCTTGAAATAATTTCGTGCATTTGTACTAAAACGCTGTTATACTTTTTAAACGGTGGTTTAAAGAATAAAATCACTTGTGCTTGCGTATTAGAATAAATAACCAATTTCGTAATATCTTATCTGATATATATTTTTCTATACCTACCTGGTATGTATTAATATTATAATCATTATTAAAGTATAAAACATATTTTTGAAATCAACGATTTTTTATTTATGGAGTCTGCCGCTAGGCGGACAAGCACCCTGCGTTCCTCAAAGATTAATTTTAAAAACTGGTCACGTGTTGCAATCGAGACGGATACTGTCAATCGAAAACAACTTGATAGCTTGTTGAATCGAAGAAATCTGTAAATTGTTTTAGCGGTAAGGGAGTGTGTTTGTTTGTTTTGAATTTCGCGCAAAGCTACACGAGGGCTATCTGCGCTAGCCGTCCCTAATTTAGCAGTGTAAAACTAGAGGGAAGGCAGCTAGTCATCACCACTCACCGCCAACTTCTTGGGCTACTCTATTACCAACGAATAGTGGGATTGACCGTCACATTATAACACCCCCCACGGCTGAAAGGGCGAACATGTTTAGTATGACGGGGATTCGAACCCGCGACTCTCTGATTGCGAGTCGAGCGCCCTAACCACCTGGCTATGCCGGGCCAGGGGAGTGTGGGTCTAGAAATAAAGACTGGAAACTAAAAACTTTGATCTTAGGTTAAGGCAGATATTTGAAGTTCATTACATACAAAGTTATAATGAGTAAATACAGATTTAAGATGATATATTTGCATGAACGTATCATTATAGTCCCATTATTTGAATATACCTGAGAGATCTATTGATCAAGCAATGAATAGAAGTGATAATCACGTGACTTGTTAAAAACCCAGAAGAAACACCATTCACACCTGAAGAAGGAAACGCTCAGGTTATCGTTTCTTGTGTGTGAGTTATTCTTGACCTGACTTGATTTTGTTAGCCATCCTGACTCAACTCAGTCCCAACTTATGAAAGATTCACTTTTAAGATACATAAAACTAACACTTTTTAGGATTCATAATTAGAACTAGTGAAAGGCCCACCTATGAACATGGCCCCTTTGAGGCCCCTATAAGTCAACAACTGAAGGACCCACCACAGCACATGCATCGTAATATTACATGAAACAATCAGTAATATGTTTTTATTTTATTTATGTTCTGATTTAACATATTCTTTTACTAACGTAACATTAATCAGGTTGGATTATGGGGGTGAGGGGGATATTCTTACCGTATAGACTTCATAGGTTTATGTACATCACTGAACACAACTCACAACTATTCAAGCGTGTAATTATACACACACACATATATAAGTTATCGTGGGTGGGATTTGGGACCAAAATGTATGTGAGGTGGGGGCAAAAAATCTGACTTAATTACTGTGAGTGTTATGTGTATACTATCTCCCACAGAAAATAACTGCCCTCCTTGCCTCTCACAGGAATCATGTTTATGTAGTGTGATTGTATTGACCAAGTCTTGTCGATAGTTCGCTGTTTATATGCACATAAGATCAAGTAAACAACGTGTCCTAAACCATACAAGGCTTGACTCGCAATCTCAGGGTCGCGGGTTCGAATCCCCGTTCCACCAAACATGCTCGCCCCTTTCAGCCGTGGGAGCGTTATA